TGAGAGAGAACTGAGGAGAACAAGAGAGAGAAGAGAGAGAGAGAGAGAGCGAGAAGAGAGAGAGAGAGATGAGAGAGAGAGAGAGAAGATGTTGAGAAGAGAGAGAGAGAGAGAGAGAGAGAGAGAGAAGAGAGAGAGAGAGAGAGAGGAGGAGAGAGAGAGAGAGAGGAGAGAGAGAGAGAGAGAGAGAGAGAGAGAGAGAGAGAGAGAGAGAAGAGAGAGAGGAGAGAGAGAGAGAGAGAGAGAGGAGAGAGAAGAGAGATGAGAAGAGAGAGGGGAGAGAGAGAGAGAGAGAGAGAGAGAGAGAGAGAAGGAGGAGAGAGCTGATTCAGAGATGAGAAGAGAGCGAGACGAGATGAGAGAGAGAGATGCCTGAAAGGAAAGACAGAGAAAAAAATAGAAAACTAATACACCTCTTTATTTTCCTCAGAAGGCTGTGTGTGCCTCATAGTAAGGAAAAACGGGAGATTAGAAAAAAATGAATAAATAGATGAAACAAAAAAAAAAAAAAAAAAGGAAATACTAATAATAACTGACGACAAAGACAATGGGGATAGAACGAAATCACGGCAAGAAAATGCAGGAATTAAGCTGAACCGCATTCGTGTCCGCCTTGCCGCGGCTCTCTGGCACGCCTTCTGCACTCCTCGCGAGGTGCCGCTCCCTCCCTCCCCGCAGCGCCACTGCCTTTCGCGCGGAGGAACAGCAGGTCCGAGGAACTTCTGCTGTGCGCCGAGGAAAAGTTTGGGGCGACGGGCGTAAAGGGAAACCGCTGTGGCTCTCCGTGAATTCTTTTCCTGTTTAAAAACTTGAGATAACGGCGAGGCATTTATGTTTACTTAGTTTGCGTGTAGGGAATGCATTACGAAATGTGCGCGGAATGCATCAAACGCAAGTGGTAAAAAAAAAAAGAGAAAAAAAAATGCCGGAATGGTGTGAGCGCGGGAGAAAGTGGAACACCTTTTAGTCGCTCACCTTGACCGAAACATTTTGGAAATGAATCAGTCATTTATAAAAATGCAATGAGCATTACGCTGTGTCTTCATATGATTTGTGATCTATTGTAATTTTTCGTTTTCTTTGGCATCTTCTTTTTTCCATTTTTTTCATAATAGATCATCGTAGACGTTAGAGCAATAAGTCATTTTTATTAAATCATTAATATTGATAAAACATTCTAACAAAACCAGAGTAAGAGAAGATAAGATAACTACATAGACACACACACACCCTTGGCCTCGCACTTAAATTCTAAAAAAAATAGCACAAACCCATCAAGCAAAATGACACATTATTTACGATCAAATGGAGATATACAGGTAAATGAAAGGTGCACAACCGCAGACGAGAGAATTCCGAAGGTGGGAGCCCGCGCCGCCGCTCCGCCTCACTCTCGCTTTCAGTCGCTCGCGGACAACGGGACTAACAACATCTCGTCGGCTTAGTGTGTACGGCTGCTGTGAGTGGCGGGAGAGCAGGCGAGTGTGCTTGTTGGTGCGTGCGTGCTCGGAGGCCTTGTCATTTCTGAGAGTGCAACGTGTTTGGACAGTATGTACATATATATATATATATATATATATATATATATATATATTATACATATATATATACATATACACATATATATATATACACACGCACTATATATATATATATATATATATATATATATATATATATATATATATACATATACATATACACGCATATATATATATATATATATATATATATATATATATATATATATATATATATATATAAGTGCGTTTGTGCGTGTGTATATATATGTATATATATACATACATACATACATACATACATATATATAAGTATATATGTATGTGTGTGTGTGCGGTGTATGTTTGAACATTATATACATATATATACATATATATATATATATATATATATATATATATATATATATATATATATATATATTTACTTATTTATTTATCTAGTCATACATACATGTGTTTGTGTGCGTGTGTTGTGTAGTGTGTGTGTGTTTTTCTTTGTACGTGTGTGTTTATTTATTCCTTGAGTATTTAATATACAAAGGAAGATGTTTCATTGTGTCAAAGGACAGCAACGCATTTCATTGACGCCTCGCAACCGCCTCGGAGCCGGTGATCTTCCAAAAGCAAAAGGGAGAGAGCCGTCGAAGTCAGCCCGGGAGCGGCGTCGCTGAGCAGGACCCGAAGAAGTCGCGACTGAAATCAGCGAAGGCTTTCTGTCTCCGAACCTCCCTCCCCCCCCCCCCCCATGCCCTCACCCCGCGAAAACGAAATCACATCGATAACCATATCATAACGATATAAATGATGATGATAATATTTATATGAATAACAAGTGATAAAGAACAGCATAAAACACGGGCAACAATTCTAAAACGTCTGTAATATAACGTGACAAGAATCCCCCCCCCTTAACACCTCCCCTCCCCCCCCCCACCTCGACGCGTACATAAAAGCGGGATGCCCCCCCCCCCCACTCAGAGGGGGAGGGGGGTAGCGGGCACGCACGGAACACAAACGGAAGGAGACGTGCCCAGTGTGCCAAGGTGAACGCTCGGTGACAGGCAGAGTGAGGAGGCAGAGGCGGGAGTGGACTGGGTGTGGTTCAGCCGTCGGGCCCCGAACAGAGGCCGACCGACAGACAATTATTCAAGACATCACTACTACTTTGGTGGAGTTGGAGGACCAGGAAGCAGTCTCGACGGATTAGTGTGTATAGCGGAAAAGGAAGGTGTTTGCCGGGAACTTTGCCAGTGGATAAGTTTGCGATAATTATCGTGAATCGAGTGAAACCGAAGGGAGGAAACAAGCCTAAAACTATTCAACAACCTCCCCCCAAAAAGAAAAAATACGAAAAAAGCCAAAAAAAAAGTGTGATTTCTCCCCCTAAAGATGAAGAACAAAATATTGCTTCCAAGCTGCTGTGAGAACATCTGCTATATCTTGTGGTCATTACTGTGTGTCCGAAAAGTTTTTAAGAACGAGAACAGTTACGGCTTGCGGGATCAAGAGATTTGACTCCGATGTGAAAAAAAATGTTCTGTGTTAGTTAGTGTTGACTTCCATTGCTTTATCTCTTTTTATTGTTTTAAGTGCGCACTGGCAGTGAAATATATAATTTCTCTCTCTCTCTCTCTCTCTCTCTCTCTCTCTCTCTCTCTCTCTCTCTCTCTCTCTCTCTCTCTCTCTCTCTCTCTCTCTCTCCCTCTCTCTCTCTCTCTCTCTCTCTTTGTTTTCCATCTCTTTTTCTCTCTTCTCTCTCTCTCTCTATTCTTTTATCTCTTTTTCTCTCTTCTCTCTCTCTCTCTCTCTCTCTCTCTCTCTCCTCTCTCTCTCTCTCTCTCCTCTCTCTCTCTCTCTCTCCTCCTCCTCTCTCTCTCTCTCTCTCTCTCTCTCTCTCCTCTCTCTCTCTCTCTCTCTCTCTCTCTCCTCTCTCTCTCTCTCTCTCCTCTCTCTCTCTCTCTCTCTCTCTCTCTCTCTCTCTCTCTCTCTCTCTCTCTCTCTCTCTCTCTCTTCACTCTCTCTCTCTCACTTCTCTCTCTCTCACTTTCTCTCTCTCTCACTTTCTCTCTCTCTCTCACCTCTCTCTCTCCTCACCTCCTCTCTCTACCTTCTCTCTCTTCACCTTCTCTCTCTCTCTCTCTTCCTCTCACTCACTCACTGTTTCGCTTTATTCTGTCATTTAAAGTATTTATATTCGGTCGTTTATCCTACCATTATTTATAGTTCTGGCTATTTCATATGGGATTATAATATGTATTATATATAATATATATATATATATATATATATATATATATATATATATATATACATACATACATACACACACACACAGATATATAATATATATATTATATATATATATATATATATATTATATATATATATATATGTATGTATGTACTTATATATATATATATTATATATATATATATATATATAATATATATGTAATATATATATGTACATGTATGTATGCATATATATTGTAATATATATATATATATATATATATATATATATATGAATAATATATATATATGATATATATATAATATAACTAATATATGTATATATATATATATAATATATATATACATAATATATGTATATATAATATATATATATATATATATTATATATTATATATACATATATATATAATATATATATATAGTATAATATATATAATATATATATATATATATATATATATATATATGTATAGGTATATATATATATATAGTGTGTGTGTGTATGTGTGCTGTGTACATTAATATACATATATATATATATATATATATATATATATATATATAATATATATTATATATATATATTATATTATATTATGAATGCATATATGTACATATTGATGTGTGTGCAGGCATATAGACATACAGACAGGCATATGTTCCTCAGCCTGCTTGAGCCTTGATTCCCGCAATCCCAGATGGCGGAGGCACTCGACGCCGCCCACGGAATTCGCGCCAAAAAAAAGAACAAAAGCGCACCGCGTTGCGCACTCGCTAATTGGCGGCAGATTGCACACACAACCGGAGAATATTTCCGATTCTTTCGACAGCGAGAAAGGAACCTTCGGATTTAGCGACTAGCAGAAATCTCTCTGTTCACTCTGTTCTCTCTCTCTCTCTCTCTCTCTCTCTCTCTCTCTCTCTCTCTCTCTCTCTCTCTCTCTCTCTCTCTCTCTCTCTCTCTTCTCTCTCCTCTTTTGAACGAGAAAGGAAAATTCTTCGGATTCAGCGACGTGTAGTAATTTTCTCTCTCATTCTTTCTCTATCTCTATCTGTCTATCTATCTCTCTTTCTATCTCTCTCTCTCTTTCTTTTTTTCTCTTTCTCTCCCTCCTCCCTCTCCTCTCTCCTCTCTTTCTCTCCCTCCTTTTCCCCCACTCTCTTGCCTCTCTCTCTCTCTTTCTCTTTCTCTCCCTCCACTTCTCCTCTCTCTCTCTCTCTCTCTCTCTCTCTCTCTCTCTCTCTCTCTCTCTCTCTCTCTCTCTCTCTCTCTCTCTCTCTCTCTCTCTCTCTCTCTCTCTCTTTCTCTCTCTGTCTCTCTCTCTCCTACTCCGTTGTACAATTTGGTTCGAGGCGAGAAAATGTAATTGGAAAATGGCGGCCAAAGATCACACAAATTCTTTCTTTTCCGCCGCCAAACAATTGTTCGTTTTGCAATCGCCGTAATTTCTGATGTGAAAATGTGTTCCCCAATTGTACAGATATGAATGACAACGTAGACTTAGGGAAGAGAAATGCAATTTATAATTCTGCAAATTCACTCTACAATAGAACATATGAAAAATTATAGATTAATTGGTATATTGCTATATTTAGTTTGGGTTGATGCAATTAAGATATCAATAGCTTTCTAACCTTTCTTTCTTTCGTTGTATGGTTTCAGAAAAAAAGTAAAAATCTCAAAAATACGTCGACAAATTATTGAAAGATTAACGACACTTCACTCCGAAATCCATTCATGAGTAAGTACTGTCCTTTATCATTTTAATTTTTCAAAAACTGTCTTGAAATCATGTGAAAATGAGATCTAAAAGCAAGTTGATTTGATTCTTGTGATTGTTTTCGCTATATAATTATATGAACATGAAAAATAGTTAATAAATTATTTAATGAGTTTCTAATATACTGTAAAATAGATATATCATTTTCATTATTGTAGTACATAATCACTTTCCTTATTTTCTAATCAAAAACAATCACATATCCCACCATTTTGATAAAGCTACCACACTATTAGCAATAAATAGATAAACAAATAAACAGATGAATATATAAATCAATAAATAAATCAAACCAAAAAATTCTAGTCAAAATAACGATCATCGATCCCCATAAACTAATCACAACATCCAGTATCACTATTCTTTCCTTTTCCTTACAGTGTTGAGGAGAACGCTAGTAACAGCGGCCGTGTCTGGGCTCCTGTTTGCTCTGTGCGCGGTGTCCTTCCCTCAGTATGCTCCTGAGGCTCCACCACACCACAGGTGTTTCTCCGGGGCACGGGAGGTGGTTCTGCTTCGTGGGATTTTTTCGTTATCCATTCTCTTCTCTCTCTCTCTCTCTCTCTCTCTCTCTCTCTCTCTCTCTCTCTCTCTCTCTCTCTCTCTCTCTCTCTCTCTCTCTCTCTCAATCTCTCACTCTCACTCATTCTCCCTCTCTCTGTCTCTCCCCCCCCCTCTCTATCTATCTCTGTCTCTCTTTCTCTCTCACTCTCTCTCTGTCTGTCTGTCTTCTCTCTTATCTCTCCTCTCTCTCTCTCTCTCTCTCTCTCTCTCTCTCTCTCTCTCTCTCTCTCTCTCTCTCTCTCTCTCTCTCTCTCTCTCTGTCTCTCTCTCACTCACTCTCTCTCTCTCTCTTTCTCTTTCTCTCTCACTCTCCTTATGCCACTTCTTGTCCTAATTTTCTTTTCATTACTTTCCGTCTCAAGGAACGGTATCCATAAAAAATATAACGATCATAAAAACCATGATGATCATAATGAAAATGATAATGATATCGTCCGTAATAATGGTTATGATGATAATCATAATAATGATACCAATGTTGGTAGTGATAATGATAATAATAATAACATTGATAACAGTAATGATAATGATAATTATTGTGATAATGATAATAGTTATGATAAAAGTGACGATGATGAAAGAAACGATAATGATGATAACAATAAAGATATGATATTAATGATTATAGCAATAATGATGATGATGATGGCAATACTTACAATAATTATAATGATCCTAAGGAAGTTAAAGATAATGATGATGGCGATGATAACGAAAGTGAAGCCGAAAGTAAGGAAGACAAAAGCGCTGATAAAACTAGCAAAGACACACGACCTCTGAGACAGCATAGCATTTTCTTGCCCAAGGTCCTTCCCCGCCGCCCACCCACCCACCACCACTCCCCTCTCGCGCCCTTGCGCTCGGCGGGCGGCGCTGGGCGTGCGGCGCGGGTGTCGTGCGCTCGCTCGGCATGACAGCATGACGGTGCGCCATTCGGATGACAAGGCAGCAAGAGTGCGGGTTGTTTGTTTGTTTAAAGGGCAGGGGCGTGGGGTGATCAGTGTGTACATACATATATAACTATACATTTACACACATACACATACACACAACACACACACACACACACACACACACACACACACACATATAAATATATATATATATATATATAATATATATATATATATATATATATATGCATTTAGGTATGTATATATTACCATTACTATTATTATTCTCAGTATTATGATTGTTGTTTTTGTTATCATTATTATTATCATTACTCTTAGCATCATTATCATTATCAATATAATTATTATCAACCTGAAAGACATTATCATCATTATGAATATGTGCTCATCATTATAGCCAGTATACGTAATGGTTTAGTATCATGCTGACCATGGCAGCGGAAGCGTCGCTCGGAGAGAATGACGAAAGGCGAAGAGAAACTCGAGAGCAATGGCGGTTTAGCGCAGAAGGCAAGCAGCAGTAGAAAGGGAAAACCTACACACCAATCAACGGCTCATTTACATGCACGTACATATATATATATACATTCACTCACGCACAAGCATGCATATTCGCACAGCACTGAAGCGGCAAATGTAGAGGTATTCATACGCACGCGCACGCACGGAGGCACGCAAAAGAGACAAGCACACTCAACTCCCTCACCACACACACACAACCTACCCCTCACTCCCTCAACGCACACAACCCCCTCCCCATCCCCCCACACACGCAGCTGGCATATGCATATTAGCACAACTATGAAGCAACGGAAAGCCAAAGAGAGCGGCGTAGTTTGTAGGCAACTTAGAAGCCAGCTTAGGTTAGACTGCCACTTATCCTCCGGTGGTTAGCAGGGCCTCACTGCGCTGACCGCTGCTGCACCGCTTGGCCGCAATATCATGTAGGCGATTTTTTCCTATTTATTTTCGTTTTATATTATATATAGATGGATAAGTGAATAGGTCAATATATTATGTATATAAATACACACACACACACACACACATATATAATATATATATTATATATGTATGCATATATATGTATATATGTATAATTTATGTGTATGTATATATATATATAATATATAATATATATATATATATATAATATATATATATATATATATTATTTATTCATGTGTGTGTGTACAGGATATCTTGAGTTTGACAAGTATGAAGCCCTCCCCTCTCTTTGTTTTCCCTGTATATATATATATATATAATATATATATATAATATATATATATATATATATATATATTTGTGTGTGTGTGTGTGTGTGTGTGTGTGTGTGTGTGTGTGTGTGTGTGTGTGTGTGTGTGTGTGTGTGTGTGTGTGTGTGTGTGTGGTGTGTGTGTATGTGTGTGTTTGTTTCAGTTGCTGTTTTGTGCGTTTTTTTTTATATATATATAATATATATATATATTATATAATATATAATATATTATATATTATATATATATATATATATATATATATAATCACGATAAGACTGCAGGCGAGATATCTCAGGACCACCCCCATGCCCTTCCACAAGGCCTCTCGCAACAGTAACGATATTAGCCAGAGCCCCAAAGGCAGTTTCCCAGCCAGCAATTGTCACTTTCATCGCCGCTATAGTTTAACTTCGTTCTTATGAGCTCGCGGATATGTGACCACAGTCGTTGCTGAATTTAGCTGAATAATCGTCGCCTGATAAGGTAATTAGACTCACAACTGCCTCCAGTACAAGCTAGTTATCTTGTTGAAAGCTTTGGCCAGGGGCGAGGGGGGGGGGGGCGCGAGGCGAGAAGTGGACGTTCTCTTGACTCGGGCCGCCTGAAATGTTTTGCGTTCGAGTTCTGTATATCTTTTGTCTAGTTTTCTCTACTTTTCTGTCCTCTCTCGTTATCTCTCTTCTCTCTCTCTCTCCTTCCCTCCCTCCCTCCCTCCGTCTCCCCACTATTTTCCATGTTCTCACATATTCCTTGATACATCATAAATCACATTCAGGAAATATACTCCGAGCGCAACAAGCATAAAGTCCATAAATCATGAATTTCCACTTCACTGATGCTTCCGGGCCCAATAGATCTACAACTGACAGTGACAAATTTATTTTCTTTTCTTTTGCGATATTAAACGAAAAAAACACTCGCTGTATCCGTTATTGTTGCAAGAAATATCACTAGTAGTCCCTGAAGCACATTTTATGACGCCATAGTATAGATTTTAGGATTACATGTAACACCTCTGAGCGTGCAAGTTGCCAAAGTGTTGCAATTTAGCAACTTCAGTTCCTTGAGTACGATTCGCCATTGGAAAGTCAAGACCAGTTCGATTTTGTACTTAACCGTTGGTGGATGTAACGGTTTTAACGGTCATTGTAGGGTTTAATGGTCTGTAATCGAGATAACCGGATTATTAATATTGTCTATCAAATTCTGAAAATTCGGATGATGGATTTTCTTTACCGGACTGCCAGTTTCCTTATTACTACGTATATACCTATAGTTTTCATTTGTTATTGACAAAAAGGTTATTAAGAATTCTTTTCTTTTTAACGTCAACCCTCTTTCTTCCTCTTCTCTTCCTTGTTTCTTTTCCCACCTATATTTATTCTCCCTTCTCTCTACCTTTTCTTAATCATCCCACTTCTTTTATCCCTATAATATACCTCCCTCCGCACCCCCTTTCTTTTTCATCCTTCTGTACCGAGCGAAAGTAAACAAACAAGAAAAACGAAATATTTCAGCAAATGACCTTACCCACAGAACAGTTTCCCTGAACCACACCTTTCGTTTTCTATGGCGTGTGCATGGGCATGGCCATATTACACCCTTCGAGTCTGTGCAAAAGAGAGAGTTCCTTCGCGATTAGACAAAGTATTTCCGCCTGTGTGTGAACAGGTAAAGGTACACAGTAACAGGTGTTGGGGTGGGGAGAGTTTCACAACCTAAGTACTGTAATTAAAGGAGAAAATCGAGTTAAGTTTACATTTCGTTTTCTTTCACGTTTTTATTGTTGGTGTTGTTGTCTAGCACTTGCACTGATGATCACAGGATTATTGTTAGTTTGATCATCTTTTTTGTTACTTTTATCACCGTTTTCGTTAGTTTCGTCATCAGCAGCACTATCATTATACCTTTACCTTATTTTAATCTTTATTATCATCATTTTCATCATCATCAGTATCATTGCACGACTGTTTCATCAGCAGTGATTATGATCATTATTATTATAATTACGTCCGCTGAGGGTTTTTTTTTTTTTTTTTTTTTTTTTTTTTTTTTTTTTTTTTGGTAGCGTTGGTTAGTTGGTTTGCAGGAGAACTCAAAAGTTATGAACAGATCAGGTTTTTATTGAGTTTTTACCACAAGTACCTTAGACCAACTAAGATGCCAGTAAATGTTGGTGGTGATCCGGATCATGATCTGGATTCATGAGTGTTTTTAAAGGATTCATTAGCATTGCGCGATGGGAAACACGGACGTCACCCGAGTACTTGAGAAAGAGGTGATTTTCATGTGATTCTTCGTCTGAGTATTTTAGTTGCGTCATTAACCCTATTGCCTTGGCGGAGGTATGCGATCTCTTAGAGTTTCTTGTTTATTATTATCATTATCATTCTTGATGTCATTTTTATAGTTGTTGTAGCCGTTGCTGATGTTATGAATACTACCACTGCTGTTACTATTACTTCTAATATCACTGTTGTTAATCACCGAAGAATTATACATAGGCATAAATAAATTCAACTCTTTTATGAAGGCCTTTTACTTGTAAAAATTATAATGACAAATTATGAAATAAAAGTCAGTAAATGCAACTGTATACACACGCGCCCGCGCGAACTCACTCGCACACACACACACACACATATATATATATATATATATATATATATATATATATATATATATATATATATATATATATATATTTTGACTGATTCATTGATTTATATACATACATTTATGCAACCGTACATAATGCTTGTGATAATGACCATGATATCATTAATAATGATAACAATGGTGATAATGCTAGCAATGATGGTAACGCAAAGAGCGGTGAACGAAAAATTCACACGAACGGAGTCGTAGACTCTACCGAAGAAAACAAACGAGTAACTCAACGGACAATTTCTAATATTAATGAAAATAAATAAACATCAAGAAAGAGCAGCCAGCCATCCTCACCGCTCCTCTTCTTCCTCGTCCTCCAGGTGTACGACTTCAAGTGCGAGGCCACGGAGAACGACCCCGACGCGGACTGCATCTTCGGAGTGGCCGGGCAGGACTACCCGACCCTCCACCAGGTTCCCACGACCTCCTTCCAGTGCCAGAGCCTCCTGCCGGGGATCTACGCTGACCCTGATGCCGCGTGCCAGGTGCCAGGTGGTGGAGGGGACAGAGGGAGGGAGGGAGGAGGGGAGGAGGACGGCTGGGGAGGGGGGGAGGGTAGGGAGGGGAGGGAAGGGGGAGAAGAAGGTGGGTTAGGTGGGGAGGGAGCGATGGGCGAAGGAGGGTAGGGAAAGGGAGGGAGGTTGGGGTAGAGAAAGGAGGGAGGGTGGTGTTGGGAGGGAGGGGGGGGGAGAGATGGGGAGAA